TTCTTATGTTGGGAGAAGCCAAGAGGATCTGAGCACTGCTGGCATCCCAGTGACATGGCAACGCCTGCCACAGAGGATGCAAATATATTTTAATCACAGCACTATGTAAATACCTCCCTTCCCATAGCCCTGCACAGCATGGGCAGCTCACAAAATTATTATTTTCCATATGAATAACTCCATGTGCCACAGAGTTCCTTTGCATAAGAAAATGAGCTGTTATTTTCCACCCAAGCAAAGTATGCCCTTCAGGTGAAATGTTTTGATTTCAAGAACAATCTGTCAAAATATTTTATAGCATTCTGGGCTCCTGATATGTAGGATTTCCAAGTACTATACAAATGACAATTTGCATTGGAAAAGGACTGGAAAAAAGTCTCAAGAAAATGTGCAACCTTGAATTCTCATGTAGCACTAACTGGCAGATTATTTAGCACAACTCATGTCCTGGATGAACACACTGTTATTTACACAGCATCAGACTTCAGAAAACATCATACAAGTTCATGTAGCACAGACATGGAGGATTGTATTATGACCTTGTGCTTGGAGACAGATACAAATTGCATCAGTGTAGGAATATACAAGAGGTAGACATTGTGTCTCAGAAAGCTCTTGAACCCTAATTTCCCACAGCAGATGTCTCCTGAGTAGTGCCTTGTGGGTGCTCTGTCTAAAGTCAAACATTGCTGGGAATGGATGAAAGGGAAAATCACTATACTGATGTTCTTGGCTACCTCTTTTTGTAAATGACTCCTGGACTCTGACTCCTACCGTGTACCCATACCCATGAGCTCTGGGCAGAGCCTGTGTGTGAAGTAGGGAAGCTCCTACTGAGTCTGCCACAGGGGGATGCTTCACATGGAGATTTAACCCTTAAAAGCTTTTTCTTTTTTGAGGAAAAACTGGAGCAGCATTAACTGCAGAAATCTAAAATGAGTCCAGAAAGTTGTGAAGAAACAAGAGTCCCTTAATTGCAAGCAGATTGGATGGCAAAGAAACAACAGTTCAGAGCTGTCCTTATGTTAGGCTTCAGCTCAGCCTTCTGTCCTGTTTGAAAACTCTGAAATGACTGCCCTAGGGCTGTATCTTGCTAGTTAATTTTAGTTACCTTTCATGGAGAAGGCAATGATAGAGGCTAGATTGTAAATCTTGGAACACGGATAATTTCCTGTAAGGAATAAGGGAAAGTTAGGAGGAGATTATGCAAACAGATGCCATTTAGGAAAGGAGAGAGAAAAGCTTTGGTATCAAACCAGAGGGAGCTTTTATGAGACAAGCCCTAAATGATCAAAGTACAACAAATGGAAAATAACAAGACATTAGTGAGAAAAGAAGTAAAAATGGAAGCAAGCCGGGTGGTGGAGAGAGGAAATACATTTTTATCTTTGGCACAGAGCCACACAGGAGCTTAAAGGGAATTTGATTGAGGCATTTGACTAAAATGCAAAGAACAGAGTGGGATCTAGAACAGGCAGCTGAGCAAGGCATAAGTTCATGAGCATATGAATCACTGATGAGAGGAAGATGATTTTATGCAATTTTTTTCTCAGATGAGGTCTTTGGCAGCATTTGTGGAAAGGAGAGGGAACTGCATTCAAAGCAGTAGCTAATTAAGGCAGGCTGAGCAGCTGGGGACAAAAATGAGGGAAAAATGATCTGCCATTTGTGAGTCACTTACAAGTTGTAGCATGTAAAGGCATGTAAGAGCCATATTACTGATTGCCTTCTTCAGTGGAAGATGGAAATCTACTTTGAGATTCTTTGTCTTACATTTCAGTCCTCATGTTTCTTGTCAGTTCAAAAGTTAATCAGGTTGTTTTTTGTTCAATAATATCCACAAGCCAAAGAAGATATATGGATATATGTATTTCCATCTTCCTCAAGTTAAACAAGAACAACATATCATACTTCAGCAAACTTAAATATCTAATTAGGCTGAAGTATTGAAACAGGAGACAAACCTTTGTGTCACACAAGTCAGCAGATTATTTCCTTCATACTTAGCATCTTAAGACTTCACATATGTAAGGAGTAAAGTGCAGTGTTGATGTAGGGTAAACGGTTGTGTTGGTAAGAGGAATATTTTGGGAGCTCTTACTGAATGCTGAATAGATCATACAAATCTAAAAACCTGCTACACAAAATAAAAACACTTGCTCAATAGGCTTTGAATATGTATTATTTGCACTAGGTCAGCTAAACAAGAGGATTTACATAATTATGGCATTGATTCTGCCAAAACTAGAGAAGCCTGACAATGTTCTCTGGTACTACTCTAAGGTTTGTGCTGTAAATACATCTGTGCAGGGCCAGCCCTGAGTCTGATCAATCCTGGAACAGCATCACACACTCCTACTCTATCCACGTCTGGTTCATATTCCAGAACTGCAGTAGAGCACTGAATAGTAGAGCACTCCTTTTCTCTCACTAAAAGGAGCCTCTTCTAGAAAAAAACCCTTTGCCAGATAATTATGTCATTTGGTTTATCTTTGTGTCCTTTGCCTTCCTTTCTCTGAGTTTATCTTGACTTTCTTTTTACAGTAGTTCCCATGGCATTAGTCTGCTATAAATTCAGCTATGGTTCATAATTATCTTTGGAAAACACACATGCATAGCTACCAGGAATATCTTATTTGTTTGTTTTCATTCTAAAACTCAAGAGAGGGACCAGCACTGTCAGTACTGCAGATGGATGACTTTGAGGAAGGCCTCCCTGGAGATAAGGAAAATTTTCCATGTGTCTGTGAAATGAAATAAAGGGAGCTTGCTGACTTCTATTTATCACTGCAGACCTTTCTGACTAACAGCTGGGCTTTTGCTGACGAGAAGAAGTCTTACTCAAGGCATTATATTTGTCATTTGTCTGGGTTTTGGAACAGTATTAAATATATGTATTGTTTTCATTTATTTAATCCATAGCAATCCATCCAAGGAGCAGATTCTCAGCTGATAGAAGGAACATAATCACACCAAGACAGAGTCTAGCTGCAAATATGTAGGTCTTATGTCTGAGTTGCAGCAAACTCTTCTCTTAACACTCAGGTGGGGTGGCTCTCAAATCTGTTCCATTTCTCTAATAAAGTTACTAATGCATGACACAAGAAACATGCATATTTTAAATACCTGAGAACTCTGGCATTCAGACATTGTTGGTTATATTAGAGATTCCCTTATCACAGAATCATCAAGGTTGAGAGAGACCTTCAAGATCTTCTAGTCCAACCACTAACCCAGCACCACCACAATCACCCCTAAACTGTATCCCTAGGTTGCCACATCCAGAGACCTCTTGAACTCTTCCAGAGATGGTGACTTCACCAATCCCCTGGGCAATGTATTCCTAGAGACTGAAATACAATTTCAGTGCTTCTAAAACAGTTGAATTATTCCTGAATCACCATGCCCAGGTTCTGACTGCTTACACTGTCAGAAATAGCATATGCCTGAAGTTTTGCAGTCAAGGAAGGATAATGGAATAAACCAGCAAGGATCATAGTCCCCATAGCTACAAATGTGTTTCTTGTCTACTCCCCAGGTACAAGCAAGAGCTTGGAGAGGGTTCCTAGGTCATGTCATCTCAGAAGCATTTCCGGGTGAGTTTGGCACTCTGTGTAAGGTAACACTTTTGATTAAAATGACAATGATTGCAGCTAGTATAGAACTTTGAGTGAAGTCTTCAGTGGATTAATGATACATCAAATCCTGACAACTCTTTAAGCAGAACAGGTTTATTGAAAGGTAGTAAAGCAGACAAGGAAACCTGCAGATCAAGCAGTTCATATACACCCCAAATGAGCAATGAACATCCTCAGGAACTGCTCCTCTTCTCTTTCACCACTTATAGAAAGGGGAAAAAAGAGGAGAAAGCTGAAATTCCTTGTGAAGCAACTGAACGTGCAAGTCATAGTTACAACTAAATCCTGCAGCCCCTGCTAAACTGAACCACTGATTCAGATTTTAAGATCTGCCCCATGCTTCAAGGTATGTCTGCACAATTCTGAAAGAAAAGGACAGGCTAACTGTGTGTGCTGACTATGAAAAGGATATGTGTGACTTCAACAGTAAAGAAATAAAAGGGGAGATTTTTCCTTCCTCCTCCTATGAAGTATACTAATGACCAGCAGAACTGGAGGTCATTCCAAGAGCTGTTAATTTTCAGATGCATTTTCAGTATAAAAGGCAGACAAAATTTAGAACAAAGTTTAGTAGCAAAGTTGGTATACCATGACTATTTACAAATAAAAGTAGAAATATTTTATATATGTATATACATAGACATGACCTGATATTTAATGACACACATTGTGTTAAAATAGCATTCCTGGCCCTTTGTTCCTGCTCATTATTTGCAAAAAAATATTAGAATACAAGTATTTGATGCCAAAGCTAATCTACACAGCATAACTTAAATACAGAGAAAAGACACGTGTGATAAGAAAAAGGTACAAAATTTACCCCCAAAGAAATTAAATAGTATTTTTGTTTCTCTTAAAATAGGTGATAGCTACATTTTAATTATGACGTGTCTGTACTCAAAGCTCATGTAACTTTGCATCATACCTAATAATGTTCCTGTGTTTTGCAGTATGAGAAAATACCACACATTCTCTGTGTTTAGTGTAGGAAATATTGCAGAAACATAAATATGTGCAAAGACTAGGTGTACAGATTCTAACTGTGATTGAACCAGCCTAAATGATACAGGCCCAAGGTACCTGTTGGATTTTTATCAAATGACTTTTTATGCAGGAAATTCAAATTTTTCCTCCAAGTATGATCACAGCTTTTGCTTGAGTTTAAAGAAATACTTTATGAAAACTTTAGATGATACAACTTGACAATATGTTGCCTATTTCTCTATGGAAATGAGGTTAATTGGCTGCAACAAAACCCTGACCTGGTGTAAGTGCATTTAACTTTGCTTTGCCACTTAGTTATATCTGCTAAGGATTTGGATTTTAAAACACATGCAAGTTGCTGCAGTAGCTAGAAGTTATGAGGGCTGAGTTTTCTTGCTACCAAACAGTGAAGGCTGGTCGTACACCCTGAAAATCATTGACAGTAAAAGACCTCGACCGTCTCCTAAGGGTAGGACGATTGGGATTTCTCCCCTTGACCAAGTTTAAATAAGGATCAGATCTGAGGAAACGTGGGTAGCTGTCTTGTTCCATCAGCCTGTAGACTGTGTTCTGTGCTGCATCAAAGGTGGTGATGAGGGGCTGCTCAATATGCTGACTCGTTACTTCTTTGGTGTGAAAGTCCAAATTCACCTGGAGAATGAGGAAAAGTGTATTTCTTTAATATACATTCATGCATTTCCTGTGGTTTTATCCATAGCAATGGCATTGTATATCCATGAAAGACTTTTCTGATAAGAGGACCTTGAATCCCTGATACAAGAGGGTGTAAATGCCACAGAAGTAGTTAGTATGTTTGTGTTCAGTATTGGCTGTCAGAAAGTCTTCAGGGATGTGTCGTTGGTGCAGTGGAAAACTGATAGAAGATAAGACAAAGAATAGAAGATAAAGTTTAAGTAACTTTCTAATAGTGATCTTTGTACAGTTGCAGATCTCAGGCTTTGCATTGCCAGACTAATGCAGAACTCTCTCCATTCTCATTTAGGATTTATGTAGAACTTTGTCTAATGAGACTGTGTTACTGAATATTTAATATTTCTGGTTTCTGTGTAGAGTTTGACTAGTAGGAAGGTGAGAAAATTCTAATAAAATTTTTTTAAAATGTTTAAATGGGCCTCTGGAGGCTTTAGACTAGAAGAGCATGTCCAAATGATTATTTATTCCATGTGCTGTTGCATTCACCCTGGGAAATACTTAATTAGTATGAGAATTTTATTAAAGTGTCAGGCATGGATTTAAGCATATTATTTTGAAAAACAAGATAGAATATATTTTAAAAATTGATCCAGTCAAAAAGTGACTTCCATAATATGCTTATTTTGTTCTCACTGAGAGATACCTGCTATTTTCCATAGAAGTAGTTAAAAAAATAGTTTAGATCTAAGAACTGAAGAGCAATTAGAATGGTAGAATGGTCCACTCAGCTAAGATTTTAAGATCATCTTGAGCCATATGCTCAGAAGTTTGTGTGTAAGAGTTCTGCTGGACAAGAAATTAGTCAGAGAAAAGGTGCAAGCTCCAGAGCTGTATGGCCTGAGATGAGACACTGCTGGCTGCTCTCAGCTGTGCCCAGGGGGAGGAAGTCTCACCAAAGCCAACAGCTTCAGGGTGAACCACAGCACCCACGTTATCTGCTCCCCATTCAAAGTGTGGCTGATAAACATATGTTACTATGAGTCAAAGTATTACTTCTATACCCTGTCCCCTCCTTAAGGTTTCCTCCTGCTCATCTCTGCTTGCATCAGCCTCAAGCATTGACAGTATCAGTGCTTTTTTCCCCACAGTGACTGCTCATCGATGGATCAATGGGCAACAACAGGTTCTTGCCTCAAACAACACTGAGGGTTCTTTTTATGTAAGATCCACCCCAGGGCACACAGCAGGGAAAGAAATGAAAAGGGACATAAGTGTTTGAAAGTGGACATTTCCTAGGGAAAGCAGATCTGAATCTTATATGTAATCCATGAGAATTACTTGTGGAAATTGCACCATTTTGCAATTCTTTTCTTCAAATGAGAATTACACCTTTTCACCCTTGTTACAGGGAAGCAGCAGTTAGTGGTTGACTTCTGCCATTCTGGCAAATAGAAAACATAATACAGGCATTGGCAAGTGACCTATTTGTTCTGTAGAAATTTAGTAGAATTACAGGAAATTGTAAGTCCAAAAGACCTATTGAAGTGACTGATTATGAATTCACTGAAAAGTTCATCTCTCAGCCTGTTCATCTCCTCCTTAGGGGAGGCAAAAAACTTTTTCCTCCTGCTTTTTGTTCCTTTTGAATCCTTTATAACACACTTCAGTAACATGAAGAAATTGGAAATATGAGAAGTTTTTGCACTATTATAATACTATAAAGAGACCTTGATGTTGGTGAGGATTGTCATATCAACGTTTTTTGTGTATGTGCTGACAGTAACATACCAAGGACATGCAATTAGAGGTGAGGGGATGGAAAAGGAGGAGAGAGTCTAGCAAGAGAAGTCCATGCTTAGAACATAATTATTGTTTAAAAGTTATGTTTAATTGAATAGTTCCTTCTAATTTCTTTTAGGTTTTTGGCTTGTTTAAAATACAAACTTCTGAATCTCAGTTATGTAATAATTGAATAGTAATTACTGTTTTAAGAGAAAGGGAGAATAAATCTGTTGTTCTGGAGATAGCTTTAAATAATGACAGCTAATACTTTTCCACAAATGCTAGTTGATATGTGTCATTGCAGCCTTAATATTTAATATCACTATTTTTTCTTAAATAAACCTTTTGTGTGTGTGTGTATATATATATATCTCCTGGATTTGGAGACCACTAGGAATCACTGACTCCTATGATACAATATTTAAATTTAAATTCATGCTCTACACCTCCAGTAATGTGGAGGGACGTTTTGAAAGGAGTATGGAAGACAGTGAGAATTATCTATGCAGATTTGCTTCCAAAGCTTTGACTCCTATGATAAAACCTCCTTATGTAGACAACTATATATGATTAACTGTTGCACCTGCTTCTGGGCATGACTTCCTAAAAGCAGATTTTTATCAGATGCAGTTGTGTCAAATACTATGTATAATGAAGAACATCTTTACTGTACCTCTTTTGGAGCATCTTTCTGTATGAATGTTTCATAAATGGTCTTAGCTTTCGGCAGAAGTTCATGTGAAGTTTTGCTTCTCTTGTAATCCTCACAAGCTATCCAGAACTCAATGTTTTCCTCACTGAACTCGGTTTTCAGAAACTTTGTAAAAGCATCCAGCCCAGCTACAGAAGGAAAAGTTGAATTGCATTAAAAAATATATCCTTATCAGATAATTAGTCTTTTCCCACAGTCTGTGCAAGGCAGAAAACACAGGTTGTGTTCCCTTTGAATATTATCACATTATAAATAATTATTTTAAAATACATAAAGGTTTTTAAATAAATGCAGTTCTTTAATTATGATCCTGAGTGCTGTGACTCCCATTACAGAATTCTCAGCATCAGTAACAATCCACTACCAAGATCTCATAAATTTAAGAAAGAGAAGAAAGCAAAACATGTGGAAGTGATGGACTTTATTCCAGCTAAATATCAGTTTAGGCTGACCAAAATATTATTAGAATCTTTGCTCAAAACAGTTCTAGTAACAATCCACTACCAAGATCTCATAAATTTAAGAAAGAGAAGAAAGCAAAACATGTGGAAGTGATGGACTTTATTCCAGCTGAATATCAGTTTAGGCTGACCAAAATATTATTAGAATCTTTGCTCATAACGAAACAGTTCTCCCATAACAATTTCAAATGAATTGTTTGAAGCGTGTTTATAATTTGCTTTATCCCATTGTTATCATGCTAATATCCCAAGGATGCTCAAGCTGGGGAAGTAATGCAATCATATTGATGTCAGCTGTTCAGGGAACAGACTTGCAGTGTCCAGCACTGTAGCTAAAACATACGTGTGCCCCTTCAAAATGAAAGGAGGAGCATATGTGCACTTGATAATTTTGTAAGCAGCAGGTCCTTTCAAATGGTGGCAGCTTGCATTCAATCACTGCTTTAGAAACAAACTGTATCTGAAGTGACAAAACCTTTTCTTAAGTACATAGAACATGTCTTGCAGTTAAGAGTATTTGTACAATATTCAGGCTAAATTCTCCTGTTTATTGAGGGAACTCTTTGCTATCTATTATATTACTTTGTTCAGTAAAGTACAAAACTTAGAAGTTATTTTCACTAATTGACAGCATTGCTACAGCCTAAGCACATGAGGAGAGCAGAAACACACACTGCTATAAATGACCCATCATACCTAGTTTAGCTAACTGCCAGGTCTAGTTAAGGGCACAACTGGATTTTAAGATTTTCCATCAGTTTTCCATCAGTTTCCATCAGTTTTCCATCAGTTTTCATCAGTTTTCCATCCTAACAGTCTGCACGGAGAGGGGAAAAAAAACTACTAACCTTTCTCAGAAAGTAGTTTGTCAAAAGATTCTCCCCATTTCACTGCTTCTTCAGGAGACACACTGCTTAAGAAACAGAAAGGGGTTTTGAAGAATAGTGCACACTGTATTTGAAGCTGTGTAACTGTATTCTGCATTTATCTGTTACCATTATGGCTGAGAACTGTTTCACAAAGCCTTTGATTAGATCACATTACTAAAGAAGCTCATTCTCTTAGGGACTTCAGGAACATTTGCTTTAATTTTCTTCCTGACATATCTTCCTGCAGAGTTTTTCCCTGTTTAATAAAACATCAGAGCAGAGATTTTTCACTTTGGTGTTTGTGTTCCTCTGCTAATCTTTGAAGGAACTGAGATGATGCAGTGTGGTAAAACTCATAAGGGAACCACGTCAGCTTTAAGCTTAAGAAATACTTGTGCAGAGATGTGGTTTTGAAGGCACTGTTACCACAATCTGCTTTTAATGAAATATGGAAATTCTAGAGCCTGAAGACAAAGTTGCTTATGGTTTAGGTGTTAGTCTTATAGGGTAATAGCACACGTAGTCTGGTTTGATGACCACAAACACATTTCAAATGTCATGTTGTTCTAAGACACTCTGCTCCATTTACAAAACTCCTCATATTCTTCATCAGGTATGTCAAGTTCCATATATCTCACTTTGCTTTCAAAACTTCTGCCCCAGAGAACAGTCAAGAAAGGAAAAAAACACCTCACTTCAGTCACATAAATACAATTTTTGAGAAACTATTTTTTGTTGTTGTTTCATATAGATTAACCCTGAATGCATACCTGGGCAGAACTTGGATTTTTAGTGGACCAGAACTGGAGTAAGCCAGTGATGAAATGTATCATGTTAGGACTAGGACTTAAGTTTTAAGTGTGAAGGTAAAGTCAATTTTATGAATATTAATATTTAGAATCATTTTCATTTAAGGGCAAAGCACAGTACACTGAAAGTATTAATAAGCAACTTGTCCAGGGTTAGTTGGTTAGAACAACTTCATCTGTACTGAACACTTTCAAAATATGATTCCCTCTTCCTTGTAGAGGCTTATTGTTCTGTTACCTGATTCAGACAGTTTGGAGTCTCTTGGCAAAACCTGTAGGCACGTGAAGTTTAGAGGGAAGGAAATTCCAGTCACTTTGGGAAGGAATTTAGCCAGTAATGATCTTGGGTTTGCACAAAACTCCCTTACATTTAGGTATGAGAAGTAGAAAAAGTGCAGTTCTTTGAACTGTATGGACTGGGAAGTCTGAAAACGTAACTACTAAAGTGAGTTCCTATAGCTACAGAAATTACTTTGGTCATAGTGAAAGATAAAGCCTTATGACTTCAGACCACATACTGAAGGAATTTAGCCAGTAATGATCTTGGGTTTGCACAAAACTCCCTTACATTTAGGTATGAGAAGTAGAAAAAGTGCAGTTCTTTGAACTGTATGGACTGGGAAGTCTGAAAACGTAACTACTAAAGTGAGTTCCTATAGCTACAGAAATTACTTTGGTCATAGTGAAAGATAAAGCCTTATGACTTCAGACCACATACTCAGTCCACATTTGGTCATAGTGAAAGATAAAGCCTTAAGACTTCAGATCACATACGCAGTCCACAACTGCATGGAATGCTGGAGAGGTTCTTTGCTGGGTGTGGAAACTACTAATGTGCATTTCTGGTTTTCCTTCAGAAAACCAGTAGCATCAACCCAGTAGCCTCACAGATCCCCAACACCTCGGTATAGCAATGAGTTTGTGCAATAATAGACAGAAATCAAGATTTGTTCAGCTTTGCCACTTTCTAAATATGAGAAGAAATCAATTTGGACTGAGAGGCCACAGGCATTTGTACTATCACCTCACTGTTCCTCTGCAGTGTTTCATTAAATTATCTTTCCACTTATGTGTGAATAATGGAAATCATAAAAGCTAAGTAAATCACTTAATAAATCTCAACCTATTATCTTGCTTTATTATTTGACTAAGTAATTTTCTCTTTGTTTGGATTTTTTTCCATTTTTGACAAAAATAATTGCCACTTCTCTCTAATCTATATACAGAGACCAGCAAAAATCTATAAGTTTTTCTTCAGTACAAGAACAGCCAAATCCCTGTTAGTCAGGCACCTAGCTGAGAGTAACATGGTAGAAGGCAGCTGGCTGAGTGAGGAAGTGATAGTCTGTAAAAAGGAGGAAATTCTTCAGAGACTTATTATTGCTATTGTATCTACCTCTGAAAGTGCCTTTTCACAAGTTATAAAAATGCAGTGATGGCTGTGTACTTTGTGTGAGATGCTCAGGGCAATCAGCCACCCAACACTGCCTGCATACATGTGGCACAGGGTCTGTTGCTTTCTCTTGTTAGTGCAATCTTGGCATGGTTTTAGGTGTCTGGAACAGAGATGGGTGTGATATGTCGAAATGAGAGCGACACCCATTGCCTACTTACCCAGATGCACAGATGCAAGTGTTTGGATCCCCCTCCTCAGCCACTTTTTCATGGGTTCTACAAACTGAGTTTGGGCCTTTATGTGATTTCTACCACATGTTTAAGGGCTTGTAGCTCTGGTCAAAGCAGGCAGCTTGGTTCCAAAGATAGGGACTGCTTAAACAAAGTTCCTCAAGCTTAATTAGACAAAAGAGCATGGTAAGCACTAAAGTATTCTGACTGATCTGTGATGGAAAGAAAGTGGTAGCAAATTTTTTAGGCCATGGAGCTGCAGTACTTTATGTATTCCTGCTTCTCAGTCAGGACCTACAAATGCAATTCTTAATGTATCAGTGAGATCTTGGTACCCCACTGGAGTCAGGAACTAACCTCTTATTGAAGTCAATAAACCCAAGATTTTACTCTGTATCTTTATGAAAAATGCTGTAGCAGGGACAATATTACCACAGTGTATTACCATCAGTATCTGAATGTTGGAGACAAGAGTGTTCAGCCAGTTACTGCAATTACTGAGGTGCTATGCATTCAGTATTTAACAGGAATATGACATTTGTACATCACAGAATTCTTTGGAAATCCTGCTTTGCAAGCAGCTGTGTGATTTTCCTGCAAGGAGCAATTTGTCAGCTGCATTTCTGAGTTGTTGCTTGCTCTATATGGTCAGTGGACTAGCACAAAGGCTGTTGGCATAAGTAAAGGTTCAAACATATCTCCGAGTGCATGGAAACCAGTGTACACTCAGTGGTGTGAAAACACTAGTGGTGAGTTACTTTGATGCATACCAGATATTTTGATAGTGTTTGTATGCTTGGGATGGATTGAAAACTTCTAAATCAAATAGGTCTAGAGAGTGTTATTCTTTGCCAAGTCTGAATGCACACACAAAGATGCAGGAAACGTTCTGAGTCACACAGGCACTTCTTGAAAGGAATCCCCATCGACTCAGTTCTTTTAGAATGCTTACCTTGCTGGTTTTGTCAAGTTTCCAGGTTTACCAAGATGATCACCTTCATGGAATTCAGGTTTCTGCAGGAGCAGGCTCAGCCTATTTCTCTTTTGCTTAGATCTACAACAGAATTGGGATAGTTTTTCAAGAAACCTTGTTGAAAGATGAGTTTTTTTCCCCACCTCAGACATTTCCTTTGACTAATAATCTCTGCTTTTGCATGACAGATCCTGCTATTTTCAGTTACAGTAATGTTGCTGCTACTTCTCCTACATATGTTATTCACATTAATTTTTTTCTTTATAGCTTAGCACAAATTTACATATGAAGCGCTGGCAAAGAGAAGTAGAAATCCTTTCCTTTTCAGCATCTTTTGAATTTATTTTAAAGATGAAGGGGTGAAATTTCCCATTAGAGAACACAAACAGTTGGCTCAGCATCTTCTACTTTTAATGTTTCGCAAAGAAAAAGGAAGTATTGCTTCCTGCTGTTTGAAATTTTTGAACAGAAACTTTCCCGCATCATCTTCAGGCTTTGAAGAAGCAATTCTCAGAACTGCTTACAACCTCCTTTTCCTCTTTTTCTTAGATCATTATTTTGATTTGGGTTTTGTTCTTTAAAAATGCATCCCCAATGAGTTCATATTTTATGCATACAATTTCTAGGACTGCAGTTTATGAGTTTTCATACATATGTCAAAAGTAAAATTATCGGTGCCCTAAATTCATACCCACACCAGCTATGTTAGAAGAATCCTCCATATAAACAGAATGCTCAGAGAGTCAGCATGACCTGAAAACTTACCCAGGCTTGCTTGCTTTGTGAGGCTCATCTTTAATTGTTGACTTCATGACTTTGTAATAGGATTTATCCTTCGAGGCAGAAATGTTTAGTTGGGGGAATAAAAGAAGTGGGTTCTCCATCTTCCTCTAAAAAAAAAAAAGCTTCCAAAAATGTTCCTTTTGCTTCCTTACAGCAGTTGTGCCTGGTGTAACCGACGTGCTCAGGAGGTCTCTCACATGCTGTGTCAGCCTGGGTTGCCCCCAGTTGGGCACAGAGCAATTTCCAGAGGAGGTAGTGGGAAGAAGACAGTTCTCTACCTTCCCTGCCGCTGCAGCTGCACGTACACTGGGCTTTAAGTAGAGTTCTGGTTTTACAGTCGTCGTTTAAGGAAGTGAGATTGCAACTTTGCAAAATGGCCGTGGCTCATGCAGACAAACCACAGCAACCAGCAGCTCCTGGGTGGCTGCTGCTGGAAGTTGATGTCTTACTAGGCTTAGGGTGACACCATCCTTTGCCCCCAAACACCTGCAAGAAGTGTGCGAAGGTTCTCTAAAATTAATTTTGATGACGATATTGTTGCGTAGAAAAATGTGCATTATCTTAAGCTCTTAGAGAACTTCTATCTGACCTTAAACTGTATCTACAACCTCAGGTGCCACATGCTGGACACAGAATTAGTTCTATCTACAGCATGCTGGCTTGAAACTCAGGGTTTCTCAGGGTCTCTGGCAAGAGCCAGATGAAGCTTGTGGTAGATCAGATATTTGCACGCAGAGATTTGAATTTTTGCACCATTCTTCAGAAATGATAACCACCTACTTCAAATTTCAAGCTTGTCCACTTAAATCTCCTCCTTTATACTCTCTAGCTGTGGCTTTTTTGCAGCCTCCCAGGCAGGATAAAAAGTATATTTTATTTTATTTTGATAGTAAATAACCCAAAACTTCTCATTTCAGTTTGCATAATATAAAACATATTAACTTTTATGCTGATCAGCACAAATGACCTCTTCACATACAAGTCTGATGTCAATTAAGTTTCTTGTTTGTGAGTATGATTTGTGTTGGAGTCGTCATAGGAACAACACATCTACTAAAGAAACCTCTTCAGTGTTATTTTATTTTGATAGTAAATAACCCAAAACTTCTCATTTCAGTTTGCATAATATAAAACATATTAACTTTTATGCTGATCAGCACAAATGACCTCTTCACATACAAGTCTGATGTCAATTAAGTTTCTTGTTTGTGAGTATGATTTGTGTTGGAGTCGTCATAGGAACAACACATCTACTAAAGAAACCTCTTCAGTGTTAACTGAATGAGGTGCTGGAAAAGATTAAAATTATGCAGTAGTTAATTGATTAAGAATTAAATAGTTCCCCTTTTTTTAATGCCAGTATCTCATGTTGATTATTCAGGGAAGACATTGAGCCTCGGGGAGTAGGCACGACCTCATCACCTCCCATAATTTTGTCCAGTTCTGCACAATTTCTGCAACACAGGTAAGTTCTGATGAGAGTCCCACCGTGGCCTTTTCCTTGTGACTTGCAGAGCTGAGGAGGATGGGAGGTACTCATCTTCCAAAGGAGCAAAAAAATCCCCACTCTGCTGAGACTCCAAATTCCTGAAACATTTTTTAAAAAAATAAGGTATCTATTGTGATTTTTTTTAAGAGCAGAAAATAAAAGAAAACTCACATGTGTTACATGTGTGATACAAATTTTAAAATCAGCCTGAATGGGATGTACTCATTGCACAGCTGCCTTTTGTAACCCAAGGACTTTTAAGAAGCAGGGTTAGGGTTTAAACTTTGTTTTCAGCTTCAGAGTAGGCTTTTATACATCACATCATGCTTATTTTAAACTGGCTTTAACCACAGCTGTCTTTAATAATTTATTCTGCCTTTTACTGATAAGTAAATAAATACAGACTGCATGATTTTATTTCACTTTTCTGCAATAGTGATAGCCATGTGAAGGTTTTTTTACCTGTTATGTATATACAGTACTGTGTTTGCCTGCCATAATCTTATTACCTGGTGATTTCAGTTCCTGAAAAATGTTGTGATTGCAACCTCAGTAGTTCATATAAGCTGATTTCAGAAAGACTTGGAGCATGTAACATCACTCAGAAGTGAATTATTGTGGCCTTGCTACTGTACCAGGTAACTTATTGATAGGAATAAGCAGCTTTGTCATCTCTCAGGGTCCCCACTGATGATGGAGTCTCCCCAGTGTCCATCTGAATGGCTTGTCCATCCCACTCTTAAATGATCCTAAAGCAACAGCTGTTATGCCTTAGATGCTTGAAATATTACTGTGCTATACTGTGGCAATGGTATCAGTCCTGAATGCAGCAGTGGGAGGAAGGGAATGATCACAAACAATCTTTTTTTTTCCTCTACTTTTTTTCCCCCCCATTATTAGAAAGCTAATATTAAATCTAGGCCATAAAGTAGCCAAACTGCCTCTAAGTCAGTCTGTGTTTTGTCAGTGATGGTGATGGTGCTGGTGCTAAGAAGCGTTTCTGTTTTGCACTGTAGGCTACAGTAGTTATAGCAACTGTATTAATTACCCTGTAAATGCTTCTGGGCCATTTTGGATATTGCAGGATGACGATATAGAAAAAAAACCCCAACAACCAAATAAGTTATTTTAGGTCAGAAAAAGCAAACCCAGAGAATTATGTTGATGACATGATTAGAGACCTAAAAAGCTCTAAAGAAATTTGCAATGAGAACTAAATGTCCTGATTCCCAACCATTTCTCTACCCACTGAAATATATTCACAGATCTTTTGGGAAGGAGACTGCTGATTTTTAAGCCCTCAAATCAAGATAATCTCTGCAATGTGAGAACATTTTGTATTGATTTAATGATTTATCACTTGTAGAAAGGAATAAATACCTTTTCCAAGAGTTTCATAGAGGAATACAAAATGTATTTTCAAGACAATCTTTATATGACACAAAAGCAAAATTGAATAGATCACCTTGAGGTGATGTCCTGATCCTTTGGGCTTGTTCTTCGGTTGAAAAGTGTCTGCACTGGCTTCTGTTAGTATGTGATAAGGACCTGTCACAGCTGATGATTAAGTCATGCTTGATTTGTACAGACACAATAGCTGCCTCTGTGAAAGAAATATTGACTGATGCTGTTAGCTGTAAGGACATTGTATTGTACACTGAGTCTGTCATGTTTCTTTTTCAAAGCTGGACACTGAAAGATTCAGACTTTCAGTTCAGATGAATAGAAGTGCAGCCCTGACTGACCTGTTCAGCTCAGCACAAAGGACTAGAACACAATGGGAAGTTCTCCTTTGTTAGCAATCCCATTGCATATCTCACCAAGATATCTTCCTTACTTGCCAGGTAAGTGTAAACTTTGCCTCCTTCTTGCCCACATTTCTGCTCTGGCACTGCCCAGGCTCCTCCACAGCCAAGCTCTGGCATTGTTCTACAACAGTAGGGTTGGACTTGATGATCTTTGAGGTCTCTTCCAACCTGGTTGATTCTATGATTCTTATCCAAACCCAACCAGTACCATTTTTGTTGGATTAGGGAGGGAAGCAATATTTGTCTTTGCCGGAAGAAAAACAAACAAACAAACAAACACAACAGAGTTTCTTTAGTGTCCTGTGAAGAATAAGCACAGAAAGAAACTTCACTGAAGAGCATGGGCTGAAAAGATGATTTTCCATATTTTTTTTCCTGTAAAGGGATTTGAAGAGTTGAAAATTAAAATGACATGTTTTGAATTAATTTGATTTTAATAAATAATTCTGCTTTTCAGTAACTTCTTAACAATTTATCACTCCTCAATATTTATGTTGTTTATTCCTTATTGGAATCCATAATTGGGCCTACAATTTAATAATGATATGATCCAGCATATGCTTGTTCTGCCTCACTGTTGCCCTTGAAGCAATTCCAAAAAGGAATACAGTTTTGTCAATCTCAAGTAGAAGAACTTGAATTCTGCTAATTCAGTGAATTTCTTTAGTGGTGCACTTAAAAGATTCATCCAAGTGGAGCAGTTTGGCATGTGAGATATTTCAGAGTTAGTGAAAGAGAAGCAGTTGCAACACCTGTCCTTAATTCACATTATAAAACCCTCGTTTGTTGCTGCTGTTTAAAAGGAAGGAAACAAAATTGCTTTGTTTCAGGCATGGATCACTGACAACAGGAACATAAGGCTTTGTGTCTGGGGTCTGTAGGCCCTATCAGCCAAGGATCTCAAAAGAACTTTGTCAGGCATCTCTGATGAAAACTCAGGGTTGGTGCAGGCTTGGGGATCTTCGTAGTTTCAGCAGAACCTCTGCTGTGGAAAGTGTTTGCATCAGTGCTAAGCTAAATTCATTGACTCTGTCTTTCGAAAGGTCAGAATAAGAAAGTGAGTCTGCAAAGTTCTCAACTGTACTCATTTCCTGCTTGCCCCATGGTTACATGGCCAGCATCTCTGATTAGTTCTATTTACATATTGCATACATCACTGTGACAATTAATCTACAGGAAGCTGCTTTCTCAGTGGAAACACTCGGTGTTTACAACTAACTTACACAAGTGTATAGCAGTGACATCAGTGCTCGTTAGACAGTGGTGTTTTAATTACCAGCTTCCAGAATGGCCTCACCTAGGACACTCACACATGTTTTTCAAAATGTGGCTTTTTTTAGTGTGGTATTCACAGGAAATGCTGAAGGCAGGAATGTTCTCTAAATACTGCCCAAAATATCCTACTGGAGCTCTGTGCTACTAGATTTATTTCCGTCTTACAGAAACCCAGAGGGACTCCTCACGTGATGAGCCACTTATTTTTTAAGAGAAAGATTTTATCAACCCATGCCAACAGTGCAGGCAGCAGCAAGTACGGGGCTGAAAGTTTCATGCTCCTTCTGGGATAGGTGTGGGAGAAGAGAATGGAGAGACTATCGCTTAGTCATGCCAGAGGGATGTGACTCGTGCCCACTGACTATGAGCCACAAGATCAAACTCCCTGAGCAGACAAGGAAATAAAATCTGTGTTACATCAGGACTGAGTCTGCTATCACTGAACTACTGTGTGGTTTGAGCAGAGCCATCACATTCCATGTCAGGCATGTCCTCACTCTGCTTTTCCCATCGGATGACTCAGGAATATCTAGGGATGCTGCAGCTCAGGTTGAA